ACAACGATAATATCAGAGTACAAATAGTGCAGAAGTACATAGATTATTACATCGCCGCATTGGCGGAATCAAAAGTAGCATTCATTCAGAACAGCTTGAAGATAGGATCACCAAACTCGAGCGTAGGAACGAACCCCTCAACCGTCAAACTCCTCGGAGCTATACTCCACAGCAGAACCTGTGTGCTAAAATTTATCAGTACGATTTGTACTGGACACTCCCAACCCTATGAGCATTGCTTTGTGGAAATTGGATGCAAGTTGGATATAATCAAAAGGAACCTATAAGGCTGGGGTTTCCTAGGTATTTAGCATATCAAGTATCTCATAACAGTTGGTCAAGTTTTAACACCAGTCACACACCCATTCCACCCCATTCCCATTCCAGAGCCAGGTTTCGATCCTGGGATCGATAAACCACCATCTCTATACCATCATCATACCACAGGCATACCATCGCTCAGTCGACAGGCCAACTCCCTCTTGGCACTGTCTCAAGGTCCGTAGCCCCTGGCTACGTCCGAACACTCACTCCCAGGGGAGAAAAGAAGGACTCATCTCACTATCTAGTTTAAGCGAAACCCAGGAAAGGTCCATTGCCGACGAGTCGGCATATGTATCGATCGATCAACCATACACTCTGCAGAGGTTTTACATAACCACAAGATCTGCCTTCCTCACTGACCGTCATCAACTAGGCTGATTCCGGCCGCTTGCTAGCCTAGGATAATGCCACTCTACCATTCAGCCCTGGTACACCCCAAGTCCGGTCTAGGGTGGCTGAAACTGTGAGTCATGAGCCGGGTCCACAAGGTCTCCATGAAGTCTCGGAAGGGTGTGGGGGAAATCCTCCACATCCCGTACCTTCCTTACACTGTCCGCTATCAACCTAGCAGTAGTGGCAATATCCTACCAAGTAGTCCGGCCGTCCCGCACCATATAGGGCGAGTGGTACATAAGGCTTCCCGGTGAATCTGAGTACTAGTAAGTCCTTAGGGGTGACCAAGCCAGAATGTCTTCATCAGGGTTTCCATTTACCGTGCCACCACAGCACCTCCACCCTGGGCTCCTCCCATCACAGGATCACACCCAGGGTCACCTCATATACCATTTACCCACCACAGGTATCCATTCCAGGGATGCCTAGGTAGCACCCCACGGCAAGACTTGCCCTAGGCTCGTCGTATACTCCAACTTGGTCGACACAACCCACACCCTCCACGCACCCAAGTCACACACGCAGCACTCTCCCAATGGTCCAGTTAACATCAGTTTCCACCACGCATCAATGTAGTGCAAGCGTAGTAAAAGTAATAAGCGATGAAATGTAATAGCAAGCGTGTGACTAGCCTATCAGCAGGGTGAGCAGGGGTAAGGTTGCGTCAAGGTAAAGGCCATCAAGAAGACATACTACCATGCAAGTCCTACCATAATGTGATCATGACAATAAAGTAGCACTAGCATTTCTATATTAGCCATGCGTAATAGGTGCTACGAGATTGGGTGGGATGTGGCACCTTCAGTGTAGTCGTCTCCGTACTCCTCACGGTACTCATGATCCTCGTCCGTCCGGTTCTCCTCCGAGTCTGCAAACGACCGCATTATAGTCGCGTCAGCGACGTCTATAGAATAGCACAAAGAAGCAATAAAAATTCAAAAGAACCAAATGCACTCAAGTATGGGTCCATTGCGTAGAGCTCGATTTTAGATGAATTTTGATCCTGGTTTCGTATTTTTCTGAGGTCATATGAATTAGTTATGAATTTCTGAAGATTTAATCCATTCCTAAAAATGAAAAAGGTTGAATTAATCCTGGCTGACACGTGTCATGCTGGGGTTGGTCCACGTTGCTTGCTGACGTCAGCATGACGTCACCTCGGCCGTCTTTGCCATCTTGACAAGTGGGTCAGCGTGGCGTCGGCCTGACGTCGATATGATGACGTCAAGATCGTCGGCGTGTGGGCCAGTGTGTACGTGCCATCGACATATGGGACCAGTCAAGCGATCATGGTTGACCAATCAATGGTCAATCTGGGCGGGTCTCAAAGCGGCACCGGCGAAGGCTGGATTTGGGCGGTGCAGGCTGGGTGACCGGACACGTGGCGTCTTTGTGGTCTTTGCCACGTCATGGCCTTGGGCCTCCACTGGGCTGTGGTCGTTGGCTGTGGGCGTGAGCGTGGGTCACGGTGGACCAAGAGGCGCTGGTTCATGGACCTAAGGCAGGTCCCTGGTGGACCAAGTCCACCGTTATTTTCCTCGGCTCGGCTCTTGTGCACCGGGTGCAAGGCTGCACTGCTCAACTCGCCCCACCTCGTCTGTTTCTTCCACGACGTACTCACCGGCGAGCTTCCGCAGCGGTGCTAGCGCCCAATTGGCATGGGAAAAAGTACCGTCAGGCTTTGGCGACTGCGATGGTGGTGTCGGGGCAACGGCTAAGACTCCCTAGGTCACTAGCCACGGCGAATGGCGGCTCGAGCACAACCGGCGTGCGAGGGTGGCCTTGGCCATGGCAGCGGCCTTCCGAGCACGATGGCGGCGTTGGTGTGGGGGCTACGGCCACGGTGAAGCGTCTCGGTGGGGTGCGTAGGCTCCTATGGATCTGTGGGGACACGGCGAGGACGTCCAGGGCTCAAGGCGGGGTTTTGGGTTTCCAGGTGGCCGGTAGGGGCTCCGCGGCGGCCACGGCGACATGGTGACGACGGTGAGGCGCACGGGTGCTCTACGGGGCTCCAGCGGGGTGGTCACGACGTGCGCGTGAGTTATCCGTGACTCTAGCGAACAGGATGGGCGAGACGCGAGGAGCGCGAGCGCGCCCGGCGGACTCGCCATGGTGGTGCGGTGCTCGGGCGGTGGTGGTGGTGCTGCGGCCGGTGGTGCGGTGCTCCGGTCGGTGTCTGCATTGCTCGGCCGGTGGTGCGGTGCTCGGCCGGTGATGCGGTGCTTTGGCGATGGTGCGGTGGTGCTCGCGGCGGTGGTGCGGTGCTCGGCCGGTGGTGGCCATGCCACGACGGTGGCATTGCGAGCGCGATGAGCGAGTGCTCTGCCTTGGCGTCCGTGGGGCTTTGAGGGGTCTACAACGTCCAAGGGCTCGGAGGTGGTCGCGGTGTGCGTGTGAGTGTGCCGTGTGTGTGTACCCGGTGGCCGGAAATGGCCTTGGCCTACGCGCTCACGATGTGGAGCGCCATGGCCGACACGGCAAGGTCCGGCGGCGAGCAGGGAGAGGCCGGAAGGCTCACCGTAGGTGTTGAGGGCGAGAGGATAGCGGTGCGGTGAAGAGTCGAGGCCGTGTAGCTCGGAAGCCGTGCTGCAAAGCGGTGTCGTCGCTCCGGCTCCGGTGATCTCCCGGTCTTCCTCCTCCGGTGCTCCGGTATTTCCTTTTCCCCTTCTTCCTCTCCTCCCTCTTCTCTCTTGGCTAGTGTGTCTTGTGGGACGGCCACAAGGTGGCGGCGGGGGGCCTGAGGAGAGCGCTTAGGGCAACCGAGGGACCGTGGCTTTATAGCCGAGCTCCGAGCTCCAATGGCGGACGGCGATCGGCGGTGGAGGCGTGATCGGTGGCATCTAATGGCTCGCGTGCGGTGGCGTAAGGCGGCGCAAGGTTGCGTGGGTGCGGCGCCAGGAGAGCGAGGCCATGCCCCGGCGTGACCAGCCCGCCCGCCCCCCTTGCTTGTCGGGCGCCGGTCGCGTAGTGGCGGTTGAGGCGTGGGTGAGGAAGACGACACATCAGAGCGGGTGCTGGGACCACCGACACGCTGGGTCCAGTGGGCAATGGGCTGCATGGCGAAGAAGAAGAAGGCGCGTGGTGAGCAACGCTTGTTGGGCCGTGAGCTGGCTGGCTAGCTTGGGGAAAGCGGTGGTCATGAGGCCCACTTCTTCTTTTCCCTTTTTCTGTTTTTCATTTCTTTTCCATTGTTTGGATTTAAATTTGGTTTAGAATTTGAATTTAAAACTGAGGTAACTTATTCATTGGAGTTTAGAGAATTTTGTTTAATAATATCTTTATGGTTCATTATTTTATTGGAGTTGTTTAGCAAATCATAACTTAAATGGAAATCCAAATCACATTTTGAATTAACAAGGTATGCAACATTATATTTGTTAGAAATTAATAAACACAGTTATCTAATGACATGCCATGCTTATATGTTGACTAGGGTTGGGTTAGACTTAATGCATCTTTTAGGTTGTGTTTCTATGCATGACACTCATCATCACATGGGATTTTTGAAAAAAAAAAATTGTAATTGATATTTTTGGTGTAAAGATTTTTAGGTTGTTACAGCAGCGAGCGAGTGGCGCGCAGCGCGGTGGTAGTGAGCGAGCGAGCCAGCGGATAAGTGTTGGAGGAGAGAAGCGAGCGAGCGGATGAGTATGAGCGCGAACCAGTGGAGGAGTTGCGTCCGACGGGCCGGACGACGACCATCGAACTACTCGTTGCTGAATACATACGACAATCACAATGTGGCGTGGTACCGCGAAATGACAATCTGAATACATACGGCTACTTTCTAGATCCAATTCGTGACAGTGGAAGGAGCTGCCATAGAATGATCGAAATAAAAACATACTGAACATATACTACATCTCTTCATATATCTGGCGTGGGCAGGCTGATTCCAGAGACCAAGACGAGTATTAACTCCGAGTAACAGGCTAACAGCCGCGCCGTCTGGGAAGGAGCGAGAGAGAAAACACTTCGTATCTCATCACTCGTATAGGTGGAAAAGGCAACCGAGCTGCGTGGCTGGGACGCACGCATGCAACGCTTCGTTTAACCGGCTCCGTAATTAATTAGCCCTCGGTATCCTCAGGCCGCCAGATAATCTGGCCAAATAAAAAAAAACGGGCGTGCGCCAGATATCGAGGACCGGAGGGAGTAGAAATCAAACAGAGTTTTATATCATCCAATAAATACATATTGTACATATAGAAAAATAATGAATAGAGTGCCAGCACAAGCTGTTCCAACCAGGAAACACACACACATACTCTGTCTGCAACGCCTCATGGATTCAGGAAGAACGCCCAGACGCCGCCGGCGGCCGTGGCGACGGCCATCGTCCAGACAAGGGCGCCCACGAGCGGCGGCATCAGCGGCGCAACCCTGGACGCGAACATGGCCGTGAACAATGTCGTCAAGCACCACACCGCGGTCTTGATCCTGGCATCCCTGCCCCTGCCGCCGCCCTGCTCGAACTCACGGAGGCAGAGGAAGAGGAGCAGGAGAGCGGCGTCCGCGAGCAGCACGAATCCCACGGAGCTCGCGTCGCCCCAGGAGCTGTAGAAGGCGAGCACCGAGGTGAATGCCAGGACGCCGAAGCCCAGGCTGGTTAGACACGACCGTTGCCTGTCCATGCCAACTCGCGCGGTGTGAGCTATCACCCCCCTGTATGTGTGGAGAGTTTGGAGGCTACAAAGATCAAACACAAATAGAGTCTACGCTAGGATGGTTGATCGAGGAAAGCTGCCATGGACCCTTTCGGTTTCCAGACAACGTTATATATAGGGCGCGGTACTGCAGCGGAGCCAATCATCAGTGCCCACCCTAAAAAAAAAAAAGAGCGGGTATCGATCGACTTGTGCCTTTTTTTAGTTTTATTTAATAATAAAAAAATGGAAAATACTATATGAATGGCCGACAAGCCTCATTTTGATCACGGCGTCGGCAAAACGCGTGCTTCCCCCCGGGATGATTGTCCTGAGACAAAGTGACAAACCTGCAATGAACTTAGGTCTTGTTTAGATAGCGGTTAGTAATCAGTATTCGTATTGTAGCATTTTTGTTTGTATTTGATAATTATTGTCTAATCATAGTCTAACTAGGCTCAAAAGATTTGTCTCGTAATTTATAATCAAACTGTGTAATTAGTTATTTTTTTTATCTACATTTAATACTCCATGCATGTGTCCAAAAATTTAATATGATAAAGAGAGAGTGAAAAAACTTAGAATCTAAACAAGGCCTTACTCGATATGTAAGGAGAAGTCCAGTAATAATTCGAATCTTGCTTTCACAATTTCTTTACTTCCCCTGATGATGTTGGTGCTACTGAGTTTCAACCTGTTCGTTTGTTGGTTTTAGCCAGCCCCAACCAGCCAGCCAACAGTGTTTTTCTCTTATAAAAAATCAGCACCAGCCAGTCTAAACCAGCACCAGCACCAACCAGCGATCAGGCCCTTTGAATTTTTGGGCCAAAGAATTTATTACAAGCATTTGTATTTGTACTATCTCTGTCTCTCTCAATCAGAGCCAAGCTCTGCAATTTTATTGGGCCACGTCATTAGGATATTCTAGGGCGAGGGATCTTGATCGGACGGTTCATACATTGGCACATGAGGTGCATTCTAGAGTCTTCGTCCCGCCTCCACACGCACCGTGACGCTGTATGACCACATCGCCGAGGCCATGAGCATCTGGCTCCGGCGGCTCCAACGCCATGCCCCCGTGTTGGTCGGCGCTTGCTACTGCCGCCACCTCCTCCTCCTCCTCAAGCTCTTCTTGGCAGCACATGCCAAGCGCGTGCGGGAGCTGCCATCGCCGTCGGGCGCACGGCAGGGGCAGGAGCCCGCGCGAGCCTGACCGGCGGCGGCCCCTACCTGCGCATCGCAGGCTGCAAGTCGCCGCCGGCCGCATCCCACACCGGAGAGCCAGCCACGCCCACGCCGGGGCCACCACGCCTCGCCCTGCCATGCTCGCGCGTCTGCCGTGCGCCCGGCGGCGGTGACAGCTCCCGCACGCCCTGGCCGGCGGCGGCGCAGCCCGCATGCGCCAGGCCGGAGGCCGCGGCGAGCCAGCACCAGTCTGCAGCGATCCGGGCCCGACGATGGTGAAGACAACAGCTGGACAGCGCCGGCTGCCTCCTGTTCCCGTGTGCTCGCCGTTGTCAGCGACCAATGAACTCAATGCCGGCATCGCCGCTTCCATAGATAGTGAAGCCAATGTGTTTGATGAAATGGAAACAAGGTATCTTTTTTTTTCTGTATCGCTTCCTCTCAATTTTTCAGATGATTTGTACATACACATCTCTATCATTACAGAGTAACAGTGATGCCATCGCCGCCGCCGCGTGCATCTGTGCACTGCTCGCTGAGCTCAGTGACAAGGTCGTGAGATTTTGCGCAGCCGTGGCTCTCGGCGCACTCCGGGGTCTTCTCGAGCAGCGGGTGGCAACGACGCCTGAAGGTTCCCCTGGTTTCCTCTACTTTGCCTCTGATTACTTTGCACCATGATGCTGATCCCCAATAAGTCACCTATTCCTCAGTGCTTGACTGCTTGGTGTGGTACCGTGGTATGGCCTGATCTTACTGTACATGTCCACCTGTTTCCTGTTAACCACAGTTAGGCTAGGAAAGATTTCGGTCGATGCTCTTCTTGGTGCCCACATCTGCACCTGAGAAGGAATTCGTACTTAGAATTAATCGAAGACAAAAATCTGCCCCATTTCTTCTTTGTCGTGGTAGCTCACCATCCCAACATCTCTGAACTTGCTAATAGCTTCTCCAGCTTACCTACTGCATGATCAAAGGATTGTTCCTGACATGACAAAGAACCCCCCAAATTAAGTTAACTGCCATGTATGGACAGATTAGATATACACCGTGTGCTTCCCCTAATTACATTAGTAGTTAATTTTAGTATATCTACTGTCATTAGCACGGACGTGACTGAGGCGGCGTCGCCCCAGGAGTTGTAGATGGCGAGCACCGAATTGAAGGTCAGGGCGCCCAAGCCGAGCTTGGTCAGGGTGGAATATCCTGGGTCGGCCATGTGAAATCGAACGATCTTCCGCGCGCAGAGGGAGGGCCAGTATGAACTAGCGCATTCATAACTGGTTCGCTGACGTTTCGCTGAGTTTATATGCCATGTGCGATGGCAGGCGCTCTGACGTGGTCACGCTATCTCACAGGCAGCTGCCACATGGGTCGTCCTTGCGTAGCAACGGGGCCTCCACTATGCGGGTGGGTGCAGCTGCCGTGCTGCGCACCAACTGTGGAGCCACTATGGGGCCTCCACTATTCTCTAGGTGGCTACCCGTGGACAGCGAAGTGTTTGTGATGATTTCATCAGCCTCAAAAATTGCCTCAAAAATTGCAGGCTTTGTGTTTTAGAGATGGTTATAGGAGTAGAGTATGAAAATGTAGAGATAGTAAGTGTATATGCAACTACATGAGTATTTGTGTGTATTGTGATTTGATTAAAATAAAGGGTTTCGACATGTGAGCTTGCTTAGCTTTTAGGGTAGCAAGGTCGTCGAGCCGTCGGGCTCTCGTGGGGGTGTGTGAAACTTGCAAGCTAAGGAACGTCGTAGCTTTTTTTCCAATAAAAAGAAGAGAAGGAGTATCTTTTTCTTAGTAAAAGAAAAGGACAAAGGGGAAAATGGTAAAGAACGTTAATAGTTGAGTCGGGCCACTGGGTCCAGTCTCCAGCGAGATTATTTACAACAGCACTGGGCCACGAAAGCCATTTCGGTCTGTTGGTGAGCGCGTGGACCACGAAAGCTCCCCGTGATGACTACATGCGTGATGCAGCAGACAGTCGTCGCGCCCCTGCAACGCCAACCCGGCACCATGATTTCACACAGGGCGTCGCGAAAGCCGGAAGCACCGCGGTTTCGTGGTCAGCCTTCCGCCAGTCACCACGGCAACACCGTCCATGTGTCCCAGCCGTGGAGCGGACTGCGGAAATAGATGGACAATGGGCCGGCCCGGCCCGGCACGGCCTGTCAAGCCATTTTTCCGGCCGAGCCGGCCTAAAAAGCCCGAGCGTCTTAGTAGGCCGTGCCGGCCCAGCAGCTCGACAAGAGATGAACGGAGGCGGTGGTGTCACCTCCAGGCGGGGCGCGGGTGGCGAAGGGGCGGCGGCGCGGCACGCCGGTGACGCATGACGGCATGGCGCCGCGGATCAGGCTGTAGGGCGGAGCTGATGCTGGTAGGGAAGAAGGGCACGGCCAGCCGCGGCCCGTGGGGAAAGAAGAAGAAGGTAGCGAGCGCCTGCAGGTTACGCGGTAGAGCGGCGGCGGCGCTCTACGAGTCGGAGCGGACGGGGAGTGCGGGGACACGAGCGGGTGGGCCGAGAGGGAGACTTGTGACTTGCGGGATTCACGAGAGCGAGCGAGAGCCGAGAGGGAGAGTGCGGCGGGGTGGGGAGGGGAGGGGGAAATGAGTTAGGACTTAGGGTTGGGGAGCGGTGGGCTCTTAGCAGGTTGCGGAGGTGACTGGGCCGCCACTGGGCCTGTGTCTAAATGTCGTGCTGGGCCGGGCCGCCTAGCGTGCGGCTCAGGCTCGGCCCTATACACCGGGCTGGGCCAGGCCAAGATGTTGTGCTTTGGGTCTAGCTGTCCTACCTCGGGCTGCATGAACTTTTATAAGTGCGGATAGAGAGCTGTGAACACCGACGCCGCCAACGACGCTGATGGAAGCTGCATGTCGACAGCGTCGTCGGCATGCACGAGGCAGACACGATTCCATTGGAAAATCAGCTGGGCCTTGATGCTTGGGCCTTGTTTAGATCACCTCCAAATTCCAAGTTTTTTCACTCTCTCTCCATCACATCAATTTTTAGCCGCTTGCATGGAGCATTAAATGTAGGTAAAAAAAATAACTAATTGCACAGTTTAGATGGAAATCACGAGATGAATCTTTTGAGCTTAGTTGGTCCACGATTGGACAATATTTATCAAATAAGACGAAAGCGCTACTATTCATCGGGTTGCAATTTTTTACAATCTAAACATGGCCTTCATATCGTGGCACCTTTGTACCAGTAGCTGACGCGCGGGTGTCGCTGTTCTTTAGACGTACCGTACGTACGAGACGGGAAAATGAAGGCACTACGGCAATTACCGTTTAAAGGATGGGATGGACAGACGGGCACCTTATTACTTCATCGTAAAGGAAAGCAGCGCATATATAATAAATCACTTAATACAGCCTTTTCAAACAATCTATCTTCTGCATACAAGATGGTATACATACAAACTGCAAACTAGAAACTCTTGAACAAATTCTCCTGCGCATGCACCCACAAGATCTCTCCACGGACGCATGCATCAAGGATTCAGTTGAGGAAGAACGCCCAAAAGCCGCCGGCGGCCGTGGCGACGGCCATCGCCCAGACAATCGCGCCGACGACCGGTGGCATCAGCGGCGCCACCCTTGACGCGAACATGGCCGAGAGCAGCGTCGTCAGCGTCCACACCGCGGCTCTGGTCCTGATATCCCTGCCCCTGCCGGCCCGCTCCTGCTCCAACGCACGGAGGCAGAGGAAGAGCAGCACGAGGATGGCGTCCGCGGCGAGCACGAACGAGACGGAGCTCGCGTCGCCCCAGGAGTTGTAGATGGCGAGCATCGATGGCTGAGGGCGTGGGCGCGGTGAAGTTTAGCGGCGGGGTGGTGGCCGATGAAGATTGCCTGGATCGAGATACCATGTTGTAGTGGGCGTCGAGGTTCAACATTTGGAGATAACCATTTCTAGGAAGATGGCCGGGCAAGGCGTGGAGGGAGACTAGAGTATTCGAGAGAAATAGATTGACGGTTCTTTCTTCATTGCTTGCTCCAAACCGAGTGCGTTACAAAGGATAAATAGGCCCATGGCCACTAGCAACATGGAGATGCGTTCTGCACATGCGGCTGAGATTGAAACCTCCTAAATGCTAGTCTTACTCTTGTTGTATGCCCGCTTCTCCACTCTGCTGCATGCGTGAAATCTCCTAAATGCTAGGCTTGACTAAGCATCTGCACTCTGATTCATGCTAGATCTGACTGAAGCCTCCCCACTAAAACTCAAGGTCTTGATCTGGCCACGGTGATCGCGCCTCTACTATTGCTTGCCCCACGTGACACGGGAAATAGAGAGCCTGTTTGTTGATTGGTTTCTGGGCTGATAAGCCTGGTTGGTGCTAGTTTATTGTGAGAGAAAAACACTGTTTACTGGTTGATAAGCCCTGGCTCAAACCAACAAGCGAACAGAAACTTTTTTTAATGTGCTCATAGGAGTAGGATGATGACACTATTCTTTAGATGGCTATCCGTGGATAGCGAAGTGTTTGTGATGATTTCATCGGCCTCAAAAATTGCAGGCTTTGTGTTTTAGAGATGATTATAGGAGTAGAGTATGAAAATGTAGAGATAATAAGTGTATATGCAACTACGTTAGTATTTGTGTGTATTGTGATTTAATTAAAATAAAGGGTTTCGACCTGTGAGCTTGCTTAGCTTTTAGGGCAGCAAGGTCGTCGAGCCGGCGGGCTCTCGTGGGGGTGTGTGAAACTTGCAAGCTAATTAAGGAACGTCGTAGCTTTTTTTCCCAATAAAAGAAGAGAAGGAGTATCTTTTTTTTAGTAAAAGAAAAGGACAAAGGGGAAAATGGTAAAGAACGTTAATGGTTCAGTCGGGCCACTAGGTCCAGTCTCCAGCTGACATTGGCCCCGTTCGGCTGACCTTAAAGGTCAGTTTGTTCGACTTCTTTTTTTAGCCGGAACAATATTTTTCTCTCATAACAACAGCACTGGGCCACGACAGCCATTTCGGTCTGCTCGTGAGCGCGTGGACCACGAAAGCTCCCCGTGACGACTACACGCGCGATGCAGCAGACAGGTGTCGCGCGCCCGCAACGCCAACCCAGCGCCATGATTTTAGACACGGCGTCGCGGAAACCGGAAGCACCGCGGTTTCGTGGTCAGCCTTCCGCCAGTCGCCACGGCAACACCGTCCATGTGTCCCAGCCGTGGAGCGGACTGCAGAAATAGATGGCCAATGGCCCAGCCCGGCACAGCCTGTAGAGCCATTTTTCTAGCCGGGCCGCCCTAAAAAGCCCGAGCATCTTAGTAGGCCGTGCCGGCCTGGCAGCTCGACGAGAGATGAACGGAGGCGGCGGCGTCACCTCCAGTGGGGCGCGGGTGGCGAAGGGGCGGCGGCGCGGCACGCCGGTGAAGCATGATGGCATGGCGCCATGATCATCGCAGTAGGGGCGGAGGTGATGTTGGCGAGGAAGAAGAAGTGAGGCAAGGCGACATGCGGCCATGGGAAAGAAGAAAAAGGTAGGGAGCGCCTGCAGGTTATGCGGTAGAGCGGCGGCGGCGCTTTACGAGTCAGAGCGGATGGGGAGTGCGG